AGGACCACTTTTTCATAAGGGCATTACCCTCAAGAACAGGAGACATAGCTGACTTTCCAAACACAGAGAAAGAGGTACAGAGACTTAGTCAAAATGAGGAGACAAAGAAATGTATCCCAAATGAAGTAAAAGGACAAAGCCACACCCAAATACCTAAGTGAAACAGATATAAGTAACATAACTCATAGAGAATTTAAAATAATGGTAATAAGGATACTCAGTGGAAGACATGAATGAGACCCTTCACACAAAGATAAGAAATAACATAGCAGAGAAAAAGGGTATGATACACAAAATGAGAAACATGCTTAATGAACAGCAGGCTAGAAGCAGAGAAATGAATTAATGACCTAGAAGACAGTGATGGAAAGTAATCAAAATGAACAAGAGAAAAAAAAAGAATTCTGCAAAACAAGAATAGACGTAGGGAAGTCAGTGACTCCATCAAACATAGTAACATTTGTATTATAGGAGTCCCAGAAGAAGAAAGAGAAAGGGGGCAGAAACTTTATTTCAAGAGATAATAGCTGAAAACTTTCCTAAAGTGGGGAAGGAAACAGATATCCAGATCTAAGAGTCAAAGAGTACTCTCATCAAAATCAACAAAAGCAGACTGACACCAAGATATGTTGTAATGAAATAGCAAAATGTACTGATAAAGAAAAAAAAATTAAAAGCAGTAAGACAAAAGAAGATAATAACTTCCAAGGGAAAATCCATAAGGCTAGCAGATTATTTTTAACAGAACCTTTCCAAGCCAGAGGGGAGTGGCATGATATATTCGAAGTGATGAATGGGAAAAACCGCAGCCAAAATACTCTATCCAGCAAAGCTATCATTCAGAACAGAAAGAGAGATAAAGAGTTTCCCCGACAAATAAAACCTAAAGTAGTTCATGGCCACTAAACCAGTCTTTCAAGAAATATTAAGGGGACATTTTGGAAAGGAGAGACCAGAAGTGACAATATAAAGGTAGGAAACCCAAAAGCAGTACAAATGAGTATTTCTATAAAAAATCAGTCAAGGAACTCGCAAAATAATAGAATATAAAATATAACAACAGTGGGGAGGAGAAGAGTAAAGAGTAAAACTTTCACTATTGGCAGATTACATGATACTGAATATAGAAATTTTGAGACTCCACCAAAAAACCCCTAGAATTGATAAAAGAATTAAGTAAAATCACAGGATAAAAAAAAAAAAAATCAAAGTACAGAAATCTACTGCATTTCTACACACCAATAACGAAGCAGCAGAAACAGAAATTAAGAAAACAATTATCTTTTACAATTGTACCAAAAGTAATGAGATATTTGGGAATAAACCAAACCAAAGAAGTGAAAGATCTGTACTCTGAAAGCTCTAAGACACTCATGAAAGAAAGTGAAAATGACACAAAAACATGGAAAGACAAGCCATGCTCATGGACTGGAATAGCAAATACTGTTAAAATATCTTTACTGCAATCTACACATTTAATACAATCCCTATCTAAATACCATCAGCATTTCTCATAGAACTAGAACAATCCTAAAATTTGTATGGAACCACGAAAGTCCCTGAATAGCCAAAGCAATCTTGAAAAAGCAAAGCAAAGCTGACAGCATTACATTTTCACACTTCAAGTTATATTACAGAGCTGTAATAATCAAAACAGTATGGTACTCACATAAAAATAGACACATAGATCAACGGAACAGAATAGGAAGCCCAGAAAAAAAAAAAAAAACCTACAATTACATGGTCAGTTAATTTTTGACAAAGCAGGAAAGAATATCCAAAGGGAAAAAGAAAATCTCTTCAACAAATGGTGCTGGGGAAAATCGGACAGCAACATGCAAAAAATGAAACTAGACCATTTCCTTACACCAAACACACACACACACACAAAATCAAAGTGGAGTAAAAACCTAAATGTAAGACCTGAAACCATAAAAATCCTAGAAGAGAACATAGGCAATAACCTCTTTGACATCAGTTGTAGCAACTTCTTTCTAGATGTCTCCTGAGGCAAGGGGAACAAAAGTAAAAATAACTACTAGGACCAAATCAAAATGAAAAGTTTCTCAATTAAGCATCCGACTCTTGATTTTGGTTCAAGTCATGATCTCAGGGTTGTGAGACCAAGCCCTACATCAGGCTCAGCGCTGGGCATGAAGCCTGTTTAGGATTCTCTTTCCCCCTCTCTCTGCCCTTCCCCCACTTGCATGCACACTCACACGTGCACTCTCAAAATAAATAATAACAAAATGAAAAGTTTCTATATGATGAAGGAAATAATAAAATTAAAAGGCAAACTATGGAATGGGAATAGATATTTGCAATAACATATCCAATAAAGGGTTAGTATCTAAAATATATGAAGAACTTATAAAACTCAACACCCAAAGAACATATAATCCAATTAAAAATGGGCAGGGGTGCCTGGGTGACTCGGTTAAGTGTCTGACTTTGGCCTAGGTCATGATCTCACCATTCCTGAGTTTGAGCCCTGTGTTGGGCTCTGTGTGGACAGCTCAGAGCCTGTTTCAGATTCTGTGTCTCCCTCTCTCTCTGCCCCTCCCCTGCTCATGCCCTGTCTCTCTCAAAAATAAATTAAATAATGGAAAAAAAAAAAAAGGGCAGAAGACCTGAAGAGACACAGCTCCAAAAAAGACATACAGATGGCCAACAGACACATGAAAAGATGTTTACCTCATCACTTAACCATCACGGAAATGCAAATCAAAACTACAATATCACCTCATACCCAACAGAATGGCAAAAATCAACAACAAAAGAAACAACGTGTTGGTAAGGATATGGAGAAAAAGGAACTCTTGTGCACTGCTGTTGGGAATGCAAGCTGGTACAGCCTCTGTGGAAAATAGTATGGAGGTTCCTCAAAATGTTAAAAAAAAAAAAAACATCTACCTTATGATCCAGCAATCACACTACCGGGTATTTACCCAAAGAATACAAACTATGAAGTCAAAAGCATAATTGGACCCCCATGTTTATAGAAGCATTATTTACAAGAGCCAAGATATGGAAGCAGCCAAAGTGTCCATCAATGGATGGATGAATGGATAAAGAAGATGTGGTATATACACATATACAATGGAATATTACTCAACCATAAAAAAAAATGAAATCTTGCCATTTGCAACAACATGGATGGAGCTAGAGAGTATGCTACATGAAATAAGCCAGTCAGAGAAAGACAAATCCCATATGATTTCACTCATATGTGGAATTTAAGAAACAAAACAAATGAACAAAGAAAAAAGAGAGACAAAGCAAGAAACAGACTCTTAATTACAAAGAAAAAATTCATGGTTACCAGAGGGGAGGGGTGGATGAATGGTTTATTAAATAAGTGATGAGGGGGCGCCTGGGTGGTGCAGTCGGTTAAGCGTCCGACTTCAGCCAGGTCACGATCTCGCGCTCCGTGAGTTCGAGCCCTGCGTCGGGCTCTGGGCTGATGGCTCAGAGCCTGGAGCCTGTTTCCGATTCTGTGTCTCCCTCTCTCTCTGCCCCTCCCCTGTTCATGCTCTGTCTCTCTCTGTCCCAAAAATAAATAAACGTTGAAAAAAAAAAAATAAAATAAATAAATAAGTGATGAGGATTAAGGGGTGTACTTGTTCTGATGAGCACAGGGTGATGTACGGAAGTGCTGAATCACTATATTGTACACCTGAAGCTAGTACTACACTCTATGTTAACTAACTGGAATTAAAATAAAAACTGGAAAAAATAAAACAAAAAAACAATGGAGTATCTCTTCCAGATAGTGTTCCTTGGCCTCCCCTATTTGGTTATATATAGGCCACCCTCTTCAGAAGATCTAAGACATTCTATGTGTACATCTCTCATCACACTTGGCATGTTTTCTTTCAGACTCTGGTTCTGTAGGAGCAGGATTTATACGATTCTTTGCATTTCAAAACAGCACTTTGACCACTGCCTTAGCCAGAGAACCACAAAACTCTCAAGATCTGAAATAAGTTAAATTCAAAGTTTGGACATAGTAAAAAAGTAGAGTTTTGTACAGTAATTACTTTAAGAAAAAATAATTAAGGACATATAATGATTTGAATGTCACAGCTCTAAAACATGTATTGTTCTTCTTAAACTAAGGAAGCAGATACTCCTCTTTAACTTCAAATCCCAAGTCAATTCAAGAGCACATAGAGACAGCAGCCTTTGCAATGTCACAATATTTTTTAAAGCACATTTACTAAATTACTCTTAAATATTTGGTTTTACACTTGAACATTTCTTTTTTTTATCTCAATTATTTACCAAAGTATTTTTGACAGATTATTCAACCCTATGAACTACCATTAGAAGTGTAGATTTTTTTTTAATGTTTACTTAATTTTGAGAGAGAGACAGAGAACATGAGCAGGGAAGGGGCAGGGAGAGAGAAGGGAACAGAGGATCCGAAGCAGGCTCTGTGCTGAAAGCAGAGAGCCCAAAGTGGGGCTCGAACTCACGAACCAGGAGATCATGACCTGAGCTGAAGTCAAGCTTAACTGACTTAGTCACCCAGACGCCCTTAGAAGTATAGCTTTAACATGGTAAGAGTTGATGCCAATCAGAACATTAGCCACTATATTATATCTGCTTTAACCTATAAGCAGCACAGAAAATTTCCCAAAATAAAATATGATGCCATTACTTTTCAGCTTCGTTAATAACCTTCAATGTATTCCTCTAAAAATTTATTTTTTTTAAATACTCCTAATTGAGATAATAAAACAAATTGAGAGAAAAAAGGTTTCCAGCTTCCTTTCTTACCAAGAAAAATAAGACTGCAGCCTGGCAGACAGGAGAACTAGAATTTCCAAGGAATCTAAGCCAGGCAAGTCAAAGCTTTAGCTTACTTCATGCAGAAGACAGGATGTGTGGTGTGAGCCCTGACAAGCAGTACAAAGCGCCACTGCAAGAACCGTAAGTGAAACTCAGCGACTGTCTGACTCCTCATTACTGAGGATGTGCGGCAGCGTCTGACCTACCTGGCTTATCCCGTCGGGAGAGATCTTGTATGACTGCAACTTCTGCTTCAGCAGCTCTGGATCACTGTGACGGAATGGGCACCCTGACAACGAAAAACAAGCCAGCACACCAACAAGGTTATTTACCCGGGACTTAGTACAATACCACACTCGAGAGACTGTCTAAGCTCCCCTTAATTGTCTAACAGCTTATTAATAAAAAAGTTAATTGCCCATGGGTGCAACTGCTTTCCTCTCTTTATCTAAATGACGATTTAGTTGTATGGTTATCAGGACACTACAGGCTCAAGAGTTACATAAAACACTACAGCATTCTCAAGCAAAGTTGCCCATTCGCTAGGAAGAGGAAACAGTTTTAATTATGCTACTTGCTAACAAGTAGAGATAACCACAAGGTAGCTATAAAACAGTTTATCTAGAAACTTTATACAATCTCACATTTTATTCTTATTTTTAAAAATTACATTAAAAGACTATGAGAAGATAATGTAAACAAAAAGAAAAATGTACAAGCTCCAAAAAATATAAAAATCTCACATCATTTTCAGATGTAAATTTTATGTCTATTTCCCACAAAGTAAAATCCATACAAATTTAATAGGAACCACAGATGGGAATGAGACAGACAAATGAGAAAGTGTTTCACAGAAAAATAACCTTTGTAGATACACATCATCTCTGTATTATTTCACGAGTAATGCAATAATAATGATGAACTACTAAAGTATTTGCATAAATAAGAACGCAGAAGAAATGAAATGTAAAAACTGTATTATAAGGACAAAATCTAGAAAATTTCATATATTTTAATAAGAAACAGCAATATAAATGAAAATACTTATTTTAAAATTTAATTTTGGAAGGCAGGTTACTTTTTTTTTTAAGTATACAGATGATGGATCTATAAGTTAATTAGAAACAATTATGCATTTTTAATGAGAGCAATGGGAAATGGGTTATAGCAAAAACAGGAAAGGGCCTAGATGCCAAACAAACACGTTTACCAAAAATCTTAACTATAAAAAACATCCACTAACCCTATGGACTCCTACAAATAATGAAAATTCACAAAATTCATAGTTTATACTTCATTCAGATTAAAACTATAAACCTGTAGTACAAGGAAACATAATGAGCAGCTGTGTAACATGTGGCTAAGAGTCTGGAGCTGTAACACCTAGGTCTGAATCTCAGTTTCCCGCCTAGCAGGTGGGAGACCACAAGCAAATTCTTATCTTGTCGCTGACTGAGCTTCACTTTCTGTCCAGTGAAGGAAATAATCACTCACAGAACTCTTGTGAAAACACAATATAAACCTTTTATATGCTCCTGGCATATAGTAAACACTCAACATGTATACGCTGTCGTTATTATTCTCAAAAATAAAAATAAATAAAAATCTGATAATGAAATTGCAAAAGATACCAATAAGAAAGAAATGAGGCTGCACAAGGAATTCTTGGGTAAGCCCAGAATTATTAAAGGGCACAAAAAAAGGAGATTAATTGAATTATCCAAATTACATTTGAAATAATGACTGTATCTGTATGGAAAAAGTTATAAAGGGCAAAGCCAAGAAGAAAATGAAGATTGCCAAGGTACTAAAGGTCACAAAAAAGTGTTATTAAGCTATGCTGACAATAAGCAAAAAAACAGAAAAAAACGATTACTACTTAGAGAAGCTGGTGTTATTTTAACAGATAACAGACAGAAAATAAAGCTCAGTAACTCCTGTTTATTTTTTTTCCTTCTTCCACGTCAAAGAAAATTATCTTCAAAACTGGACAGGGTTGAACCAGGTAACCAAAAATGAAGTGAATGCACACCCACTTAAGTATCTGACAAAACTTTCCAACATCCATTTGCAGAAGAGACGGATAAAGTTAGTCTGGAATGTAGTTATGTATAGATTCATAACAGTGCTGGTTAACGAAATGATACCAACACAGGGGACTAAACAGTTTTATGAACAACGTAAAACTAAAAGGACAGGGATATCTCATTTCTAGTCTGGCCTGTGAAGAGCTTATACACTGCTCCATCCTAACCAGGAAAAAGTTGAACTGAAAAATCAACAACTCTGTTTAGACTCATCAAAGAAATCAGATCACAGGGCACACCACTGTCCCCTAAAATTGGAGAGAGTGGCAGATACAGAAAATCACAACATACCAGAGCAGAAATCTCTGCAGGAACCAGTGCTGGGGTAGGAAAAACCTTACCTATAACTGAGAAATTTTTGAAGTCTGGACAAGTCTGAGCATCAAAAACTCCAAGGAGACCCAGTCATAGGGAGGCCCCATACTTCGTAAGCCTAACTTCCAGGAGCTCTACCAAGTGCTCACGGGGAATAATAGAGAGAAATTTTCTCAAGCTTCTGGCATGGGGAGGGGAAAAGTAACCATTTTAATACTATAGAACAATCTACTCTTAATAAGGCCTGCCCTCAGAACAAACTGTTTTACTGGAGCCTAAACTTATGGGGTTTTATCAGAGGTAACCTATCAGGCGTAGGGAAATACCCAACTCCAGCCTCCTCTAGGCATCCTGTCCCACCTAAGGGAGAAAAACTGAGTCACTGTTGAAGTTAATAGCCAAGGGCCACAGACTCACTAAAAGACTAAGCAGAGGACTACAGAACACCAACCTCTCCACCTCCCTGCTTACCACCATATTACTAAAGGTCTATTTATTGGAATTCTTTTCATCCAGTATGTCATGTCTACTTTTTAACAAAAAGTACAAGGCTTATCAAAAGGCAAACAATACAGCTTTGAAGAGACTGAACAAACATCAGAACTAGAGTCAGATATGGCAGGGATAGTGGAATTATCAGACCAAGAATTTAAAATAACTATGGTTAATGCTAAGAGCACTAATGGAAAAAGTAGACAATGTGCAAAAACAGATAATGGAGGCAGAGAGATGGAAATCCTAAGAAAGAATCAAAAAGAAATGCTAGAGAACTAAACACTCTAATGGAAATGAATGTCTTTTATGGGCTTATTATAGACATGGCTAAGGGAGGAATCTCCAAGTTTGAGGTTATGCCAATTGAAACTTCCAAAACTGAAAAACAAAGACAAAACGACTAAAGAAAGACAATAAGAACAGAATATGTAACACCTGTGGGGCATTATGAAGGGTAGTAATGAGAATTCCAGAAGCGAGAAAGGAAGGAATGGAAGCAGTATTTGAGGCAATGGAGAATATTCCCCAAATAAATGTCAGATACCAAACTACAGATATAAGAAGTCCGAAAAACACCAAACAGTATTAATGCCCCCCAAAATATAGCTTAGATATATCATATTCATACTTGAGAAAATAAAAAGTAAAGAAAAAATCTTGAAAGAAGCTGGCGGGGGGACACCTTACCTACAGAGAAGCAAATATAACAATTATATCTAACTTATCCTCAGAAACCATGCAAGCAAAAGAGTGAAGTGAAATATTTATTTATTTACTTATTTATTTTTTGGACTGAAATATGTAAAGTATTTAGAGGGGGAAAAAAACCTCCACACACCTAGAATTCTGTACCCTGTGAAATTATCCTTCAAAAGACAAGAAGAAATACTTTCTTGGACAAACAAAAACTGACATAATTTGTTACCGGTAGACCAGCAAGGCAAGAAATGTTAAAAAAGCTCTTCAAAGAGAAGGAAAATGATAAAGGCCAGAACTTGGGTCTACCTAAAGAAAAGAACATCAGAGAGTAAGTAAAGGTAATATAAAAACTTCAGAGTGGGAAAATACATTGAGGATATTACATAATGATAAAGCAGTGCATACTCCAGGAAGACATAACAATCCTTAATGTGTATCCATCTAGCAATAGATCATCAAAATACAAGAGGCAAAACTGGTAGAACTGCAAGGACAAATTGATGTATCCCCTATTACAGACTCTAATACTTCTCCATCAGAAATGGACTGATCCTGGGGCGCCTAGGTGGCTCAGTCGGTTTAGAGTCTGACTTTGGCTCAGGTCATGATCTCCTGGTTGGGCTCTGTGCTGACAGCTCAAAGACTGGAGCCTGCTTCGGATTCTGTCTCCCTCTCTCTCTCTGCCCCTCCCCTGCTTGTGCTCTGTCTCTCAAAAATAAATAAAGATTAAAAAAAAAAAAAAAGAAAGGAAATGGACAGATCCAGCGGGCAGTAAATCAGCAACAATAATCAGAATTCAAAAGCACCATCAATTAATATAATTGATATCTATAAAATGGCTATATCCAATAATAGCAGATTACACATTCTCAGTTCACAAGTAACAAACCACTCTAGTGAAGGATGCTGCTGATAGTGGCAGGTTGTGCAAGTGTGCAGCAGAGAGTATGTGAGAACTCTTTGTATTTTCTGCTCAATTTTGCTGTGAACCTAAGTGCTCTAAAAAAATTAAGTTTACTCATTAAAATAAGGACAGATCAATGTTTCTAACAAATAATACGAACTTACTGAGTGTCTGCTAAGTAGATTATTTTTTACCTGATAGAGTTTAAATTAAAAATAAAATAAACAATGGACTGGAATAAGATTCAGTTTAACAGGAATAAGCAATATAAAATCCTGCATTTGAGCTAATAAAAATCAACTACATAAGTGGGAGTTCTAGGATCTGGTAAGTGATAAAAGAATCCCTGGGAGTTTTACTAGGCCAAACTAAATGATCTAAGAAAAGTAATGTATTTTCTCAATAGAAGTATGTGGTCAATCAAAGTGTAGAAGACATAAGCAATTATTCAGGGCACGTGCAAATAAATCTGACTTTATAAGTCTGAGGGTGGAGCCTGATAATATGCATTTCTAAAAGGTACCTTAAAGTAACTGACACAAGTGATGAGAACCACTCACTGTGAATACCAGTACTGGCCACCTTTTATCTATTAAATATGAAAGTAAAGGCATTTTTTTTAATGCTCTGGACATGTCAAGCATCTTCCTCAAAATTCTGTTTGTGATTATTTGTATCTTGATCCATAACAGCCTATAAATGCATAATCTTTTAATAAAGAATTACATTCAAGATGCTGAAACAATAATTAACAAACATCCTTCTACACATTAAAAGAAATGCCAAGGGCGCATGGGTGGCTCAGCTCATTGAGTGTTTTACTCTTGATTTCAGCTCAGGTCATGATCTCACAAGTCATGGGATCAAGCACACATTAGGCTCTGTGCTGACAGCAAAGACCTTGCTTAGGATTCTGCTTCTCCCTCTGTCTCTGCCCCTCCCCTGCTCATGTGCATGCTCTCTTTGTCTCTCAAAATAAATAAGTAAACGTTAAAAAAAAAAAGTGCTAAAAGAAAAAAGTTCTGACACATACTGCAGTAAGCTTTAGTTATCTAAAGTATTTACTAATGTGGATTATTAAAATCATTCTCTGACATACCAGACAAATGAGGAACTTTTCAAGGTATGTGCAGAGAACTATTTTAGAAAAAAATTGAACTAAGAAATCTACAATAAAAAGTTTAGCCTTTTTTTTTTTTTTCAACCTACAGTAACTCAGGTGAATTGACAGATGTTTGATACCATGACCCGCTAAATTCCTCACTCAATCTCATTCATTAATGATACTAAAACACACCTTTCCTCAGTAGTCTTTTGAAAATTAATGGATCAACTATTCTATAATTCAAGGTACTCAATTTCAAAAACCTTTGAAGAACCTGTATTAGTCTCCTAATCATGAGAGAATCAGAAAATGGCAGGTGAAGGGGGACACTGAGAACTAAAGAGCCTGGTCCAGCACAATCTTTAGCATAGCTGAATAAACTCTCTTGCTGACCTAGTTCAGTAATACGACAGATCTCTAGAACAGTGCAGGAGCACAGTGGTGACTGACACAAGCTACAAGGGATATGGTGATACAAAAAGCCATCAATCACACTGCTTCACTGTTTCCTATAGAGCTAGTGGGGTTTCTACACTTCACAGACATGTATCCAGTGGAAGCACTTACCATGATAATCCCCTTGGCCTGGTGGATTGGTTAGAATAATCTTCATGCAACTGAAAGGTGTATAGTCAGTTCTCTTGCCTTCCTTTCCAAAGCTATGACGGATATTGTAAGAGTAGCCTTTGTCAAACTGGAGGAAAAAGAAGAGGCAAAGTAAGTCAATATCATCTAGTGGTGTCAGCAGTGACAGACAGCTATAATCAGAGTACAAAATGGTATTTTCTAAAATAAATTCAGCATTCATAGGTAGATGTACATATCCTATACATCATTCGAGCCCTTCATGTACAAATACATTTTTTTAAAAGTGCAAAACTTACAGGAAACAAATTATTCAGGTAAAGACAGCAAACGTTTACATGTATATATGTTTAACAATGAGGATAATCCTTTCCTGAGAGTAATCAAATCACCCATTTCTTGGTTTGATTCCAGAGCTTATAATGAATGTATATCAGTTTAGTCTCAACCCCCTTATCTTAGTACTCCCTGAATTCCTATATCCTACCTATGCTACTTCTGAAATGCATAACACAATTAATCCCTTCTTCTGTATTCTCACTACAGGAGAGAAGCAATGTGTAAAAGAGAAGCAAAGCAAGAAGAAATGCAAGCCAATGCTTGATTAATGAACTACTGCAATTGCCTCCCATCTGGAATTCCTGACTCCATGTTTACAAAGCAAGCTAACAGTATAAAAAGGAGTTTGAAGTGGGTGGGAAAGAAAGAAAACAGGAACTAACATTGATTGAAAAGCTCAGAATAGTAGGACTTAGCTAATACTTCAAGGAAAGTAAGAAAGAACTAGATTAAGAGAGTAATATACTGTATTATTTTGGGGGGGTGAGATTTTTAAATTTCAAGTTACAACCTGAAATACACAGATCTCAAGTCTACTGTTTTATTGGTTTTGACAAATCACTGTACCTATGTAATCCATACTCCTATCAAGAGACAGAATGTTTCCATCACCCAGAGTTCTCTGGTGCCCCTTCCCAGTCAACATTCTTCCCTCCCCTCCATACGTACAAGAAACTACCGATGTGATTTTCATCACCATAGTTTTAACTATTCTACAACTTTATATAAATGGAATCACACAGTATAAAGTATTTTATAACTCACTTGTTTCATGACTTTATGTTTTGAGATTTATGCCATTCATTCCACATACTGTCAACAAGCCCTTTTACTCAACTATAGACCCCAACAGTTAAAACCAAAAAAAGACAAGATTGCTAATTCATGCTCTAACTAAAACCTGCTGCACTTATTTCTTATCACGCTTCCTTGAGGCATTGACAAAGATGTTTTGGCAATGAATGGAATGTTCCAACCACCCAGACTGAAAGGCCTTGATAACAAAGAATGCCTAGAAGACCATACCCCACCTGTCCCATTTTGTGCCCATGATCCAGTGCTGAACACATACCAACACCCAACCACGATCACATGTTCTCTGCATGCTTTCTTGCCCGTACCTCCCTGAATGTCTATAAAACTCTAGGCATCCAACTTGCCATGAAAGAGGTTGGATATTAAGACTTGAGCCTGCCACCACCCTGGCTGCTGGCACCCAAAATAAATTTCTCCCTCTTTTCTAAACCTTCTCCCTCTTTTCTAAACCTTCATCATGAGCTTCTCTCACGATGAGTTTATCCAAGTTTGTTCAGCAACAGTGTAGGCAAACCCAGCCAGGAACTATGCTTTCGATTTGTCCATCCCTCTCAGTATTCCCCAGGATGGGGCAGTTGGCCATGGCAGCATGCCGGGGCTTACCCGTTCACTTCCTGAGTTAGCAGCTATGATAGACTGATTGCTAACACTATCAGCAGTTTGTTCCTTTTATTGCTAAGTAGTGTTTCATTGTATGAATATACCAGATAGTTTATCTAGTTCTCTGGTGATGGACACCTGGGCCATTTTTCCAGTTTGGGGCTATTACCAATAAAGCTACCATGAACATTCTTGTAGATGACTTTTGTGGGCCTATGTTTTCATTTCTCTCAAATGCTGCCAGAATTGCTGCCAATAGTTTTCCAAGGTGACCGACCATACTATTTTATAGCCTACCAACAATGCATGAGAGTTCCACACTGTCCCCAAAGTTTGGTGCTGACTCAATTTTGTTCATTTTAGCCAGTCTAAAGGGTAGGCAGTGATATCTCACTTTGCATTTCCCTGATGAGTAATTCTTGTGAGCACTTTTTCATATCCTTTCTTTTCATATGCCTTACTTTGGGTTTTTTGTCTGTTTCTTTGAATCTTTACCTTTGTTCAAACATGTTCATGTTTGCAATATTGACTTCCTGCATCACTGACCATATATAGATACATATATGTATATGTGCATATGCATATATATTTTTTCCCAAGATTTTATTTAAATTCAAGTTACTTAACATATAGTGTAGTACTGGTTTCGGGAGTAGAATTTAGTGATTCATCACTTAACATACAACACCCAGTGCTCATCCCAACAAGTGTCCTCCTTAATACTCATCCCATTTAGCCTATCCTGCTGCTCACCCCCCTCCATCTACCCTCAATTATTTCTCCAGTTAAGAGTCTGTTTTGGTTTGGTTCCCTCTTATCATATAGTATTTGTCTTACTCTGACTGACTTATTTTGCTTAGCATAATACCCTCTAGCTCCATCCACATCATTGCAAATAGCAAGATTTCATTCTGTGGGTTTTTGGTGTTTTTTTTGTTTTTGTTATTTATTTTTGAAATAAGAGCATGAGCAGGGCAGGGACAGAAGGAGACAGGATCTGAAGCAGGCTCTGCACTGTCAGCACAGAGCACGATTCAGGGCTCGAACTCATGAACTGCGGGACCATACATGACCTGAGCCTAAGTTGGACACTTAACCAACTGAGCCACCCAGGTGCCCATGATGGCTGAGTAATATTCCATTGTATGTATGTATATGTATGTGTGTGGGTGTGTGTATACACGCACGCACACGCGCACACACATCCCAACTCTTCTTTATCCATTCATCATGCCTTATTTTGTGAAGTGTCTGTTCAAATCTTTCTCCCATTTAAAAAAACAGATTGTCTTCTTGTAGGAATTCTTGATAAGCTCTGGATATAGCCCTGGTGTCAGATATAGGTGTTAGAAATACTTTCTTACAATCTGTGGCTTGTCTATATATTTTCTTAAAGTTGTTGTCTTCTGGTAAGTAAATGTGTTTATTTTTCATGAACCCCAAGTTATCAATTTTTTTTTATGGTAATGCTCCCTGTGTCCTCAGTCAGCTTACAAAGATATTCTCCCATGCTGTCCTTTAGAAGCCATGATGTTTAATCTCTAAAGTCAGGTCCTTTTCGTCTCAACTTTTGTGTGTAAGGTAAAGTACAAGTCCAGGTTGTTTTCTACCCCTCTAGGGGAGGAAGGATCTTCATGGCTGGTTCATGGTTCATGGCTGGGGCTCAGGAATCAAACTGATCAAAGACATTCACAAGAAAAAAACCCATTTAATTACATATGTACATAAAGTGTGCTGATGGCAGTCTTAACGAAGAAACAGGACTCAAGGAGGTAGCCATATGAGTGAGGCTTATATACCAGTTTAGGCTAAACCAAGAAAAAGGGATTCTTGGTGGGAGAGGCAAGTTCTGAGAAGGTGAGCGGAGGAAATATACGGCAAATAAAGGTTGTACTGTTTTGCAGATGAGTCTCTTGGGTGATAAGAGTTGTCTGGAGTAGCTCTCTTCCCCATACAGAGACATCTTAACAAATGTAAATTTCCTTTAAAAGGGGAAATTTATATTTTATTTTCAGGCAGTTAGGAGGAGGTAAAAAGTTCTTCTGGCTTCTGCTGGTTTTCAGTTGCCTTGAGCTCAAAATAATTTTTATGTCAAAGTGACATATTTTGGGGTGGCATATTCTAGTACCCTTCAATACTATTTGCTGAAAATATTTTTCTTTCCTTACTAAATTTCTTTGAATAGAAAGAGACTCATAAATATAAAGAAAAAACTAGTGGATGCCAGAGGGAAGGGAAGTGATGGTATAGGTGAAATAAATGAAGGAGATTAAGAGGTACAAACTTCCACTTATAAAATAAATAAGTCATGGGGGAGGGGTGGCACCTGAGTGCCTCAGTTGGTTAAGTGTCCAGCTTTTGATTTAGGCTCCGGTCATAATATCAGAGTTTATGGGATGGAACCCCGTGTCGAGCTCTGTGCAGCCTGCTTGGGACTCTCATTCTCTCTGGCTCGCTCCCTCTTTTTCTCTCTCTCCCCCTCCCTCAAATAAAAATTTACAAATAAATAAACAAGTTACGAGGATAGAAAGTACAGCATAGGGAATACAGTCAATAATATTGTAATAACATTGTAAGGTGACAGACTACACTTACTATGGTGAGCGTTTTGTAATGTATAGAATTGTTGAATAACTATGTTGTATACCTGAATCTAATATAACATTGTATGTCACCTATACCTCAATTAAAAATAAAAATAAAAATTGCTTTGGTACCCTGGTCAAATTTGACCATAAATGTGTGGGTCTAGTATTCCACTAATCTGTATGTTTGTCCTTTTGTCAATGCCACATTGTTTTAATTACGTAATCTTTAGAGCAAGTCTCAAATTCAGATAATGTAAGTCCTGCTGCTGTGTTCTTTTTCAATATTATCTTGGCTATTCTATGTCCTTGAATTTCCATATAAGTTTTAGAATCAGCTTACCAAGTTTTATTTAAAAAATGCCTGCTGGAGTTTTCAACAACTGGTAGCTTATGGCTTCATAACTACCTATCTGCCCACTAGAAAACTACAACCAGGAGAACAAATGGCATTTCAACTAAAAGAAAACTTTCAAAAAAGAAGAAAAACTTTCAAATCAGTATATTTCATTGGTGAAAACCAGAATGTTGAAAGTTCCAGCAAAAAAAAATTTCCAGCTAACATCTTTAATGAATACCTTCTGTTTGTTTCATCAGTCATAAACATTAACTATAATCAATCTCTGTGAAAAATTTTAGGTATGGAGTGAATTTAATTAGATACAAGATTTCCGTATGTTCTTCAGAAAACTTTGGGTCAGCTATTCTATGCAAGTAATAGTGTTAGAAATAAGCCCATCGACCCAATCGAAGGAGGGACCGGGAAACA